GGTGGTGGTGGGAGCCTCTCCTGCCTCCTCAGCAGCACTAAGGATGTCAGACTGCAGCTTAGTCCTGCTCCCTGCTGGCAAGTTGACATCCTCCAAAGGCTCCTGGGCTGCCAGAGGGATGTCTGACTGCCAGCTTAGGCCCAATTTCCCAGGGAGCGGGCCTAAGCCAGCAGGTGGTCATCTCCCGAGGGGTCCCATACTGCAAGAGGACACAGGCCAGGCTGAAGGACCCCCCCCCCAAGTGCACAAATTTTTGTGCACCAGGCCTTTAGTATTATATATTCAATATAGAACTAAGATATGAAAATGGGGACAAATTGGATATATGAATCACTTTCCCACACCTCTTCAATTGCAAAGATAAGTCATGGAAACCTGGTTTGCACACACTGTTCCTGATTATCCCAGCAGAGAGATTTTAAATATATAGGCTAAATAAATTCATTTTTCTACACAATTTAATGTCTAACTCATATGACCTCACTCTCTTTTTTCCCTACAAACTTTTCCTGAATTTGGTTCACATTTTTCCATCTCTTGTGGGTTGCAAGAATGTCAAAACATTATAATATTTCTGTCTTAATCATTCACAATATTCCTATATTTTCAAGTTTCTATTTGCTCCCTTCTAAATATAGGTATCCAGGCTACTATAGTTCCATCAACCAAATATTCAAAGCATGCTATTTTCAACATATAGGACCACATATTTTGTCTACTTTAATATCATTAATGTATAATATTTAACAATCCCCCTCTACTTAAATATAATAAAGTTTTTCCATGATTAAACCCCACAAGTTACTTCAATTTGTGTTGACCTACAAAAATAACTGACCACCACTTGTTTACATACTATTAAACTTTTTTTTAACTATCTCTTGTCCTCCAAAATAACATGGGGATATAGATAGGAAAAATAGTCCATATTGTAACAATCATGTATGGTGATAGAAGATTACTAGATTTATTATGGTGATCACATATGATGGTATATGTCAAATCACTATGTTGTATGACTAAAACAATTATGATAGTGTATGTTGACTATACTTTAATAACAAATAAGTTTTAAAACATTTATATGGTTTTAAGTTAAAAAAGATAAAATCAAATTACTGTCCTGAGATTTTATACTTAATGATGAAATAAGTAAAGATGCCTAAAATGTGCTGCCAACATGTTAATATTCTAACAAATAGTAAATTAGAAAAAAGTGTTTAGAATGTAATAATGCTTCAAAATTTTATAAATAAATGCATTTACATGGAAAAATAGTTTTTTAACATCATTGTAATTATGCCATTTACCTTGTAAAAATATATATGTATTGACATATCTTGTTTTATTTATTTCATTATAGTAAAACATAACACATGGTTAATATACTAAATATATTTTTATTATATATATTGTCTACCTCTACTAATTTTATTCACAAAGGTAAATTTTACTAAACAAATTACTAAAAAGGCAATAGGGGAAAGTTTTCTTTTGAAAACTCACCCTTTTTCTCCCCAAAGATGTATTTCCATGTTGGCAGTTAAATTAATTACCAACTTAATTACTTACCAATTTATTAATAATTATAAATACTTAACTATCAAACATTTTACTAATATCACTGATCAACTGCTGTTTTAGATGTTATTTATTTAGTTCTTATAGTTGGATATGCCTTTGGATATTCCTGGCTATCATATAGTGCAAAATTGAAAAATTGAACACAGAAGAGTGTTAAATAGAAGTTGAGATTAAGAAAAAAGAACTGTTAAATGGCTGAACTAGAATAATATTTTTTCTTCTGAGATTTTAGGAATGCCAGTTTAAGAAGTGCTGTGATTATAACACATGTAAACTGAAAGGCTCAGTAAAATGTGGTTCTGGACTATGCTGTACACCAGAATGTCAGGTAAGTTTCCAATCTTTATTAAAAGGGAATTGAATGTGATAATAGCAAGCTATGTTGATTGAATTAATGTAGAATTGATGAAAGACTGTCAAAGTAATTCAGTGGAACAAAATAATGCATAAATAACCACAAGCATGTAAAGAAAACTTCTGTGAAATAAAGAAGGCATCTCGGATTGGTACTGATTATTCTCTCGTGTTGAAAACACAGTTTACCATCTTCTAAATTAAGCATACAAAGAGTAGAATAATCATATACATTACTATGTCAAAAACTCAAGTCAAGAAAATTATAAAGTCAAATAAATAGTAAATTATTAATTGTGAAAATTATAACATGAATAGCAGACAAGTTTGTAGCATAGAGAATATGCAAAGAATGCTCACATATTGATAACTAAAAGGCAAATCACAGAGAGAGAGAGAGAGAGAGAGAGAGAGAGAGAGAGGCAAATAGAGGGCCCAGGCAATTTACAACAATGTAAATACAATTGTTTAATGTGTACATTGCTCTTTTTCAGAAACTAAGGTAAACCTAAATAAAAATAATAATGCCATATCATAAAGCAGACATCCAATAGCAATCTTAAATTTAGCAATGTCAGATATTGGCTAAGGAATGGGAACGGATATTTCTGGATATTGTTCATGGAATTTTGAATTTCTATAATTCCTTTATGAATATTTTCATATCTTTGAATAGAGTATAAGTTATCAAATTAAGTGATTACCATCATTATCTCTTTTATTTATGTATCTATTCTATAATCATACACATGTATGGAAAGCTGAGGGGAAAATATTAATTACAGGACTGTTGGCAATAGCAACTCATAAAGGCAAATTTAATATTTATTAGTATTGGAATGGTTACATAAATTACTTTATATGTGCAAGAGTTAATAAATGCAAGCTAAATATACATTCAATAATATGATATTTCAAGATATATGTTTGAATAAAGAAGTCCCATAATGAAAAATATTTTATAATTCCAATTCTGATAAATTATATCATAAATATTTCATATATTTTACCCATATTTTAAATTAAGATACAATGTCTTAAAGTGAAGTTATTTTAGTGAATACTTCTAAGTTATTATTGTAAACATATTCAGTCTTGTAACTAGCACCACAATCAAGGGATGGGAGATTTCAATATCACTTTCCAAAAATCCCTGTGTCCTTTTGTAGTTAATCCATACCTTTACCCATAGAACTGTTGGCAATAATGAAATTATTATAATGAAATCTGGTAACTACAGATCTGTTTTCCACATCTCTAATTTTGATTTTGAAAGAATATAACATAAATCAATCATATAATATGTGTAAATATTGTCATTAGGCATCTTCGTATAAAACATTCGAGATTCAATCACATTGTGGTATTTATCAGTTCACTGCTCTTTTGTTGCTGAATAGTGTATATAATATGCATAACCCATGGACACAGACAATAGGGTGGTAAAGGCCTAGGGCAGGGACAGGGGCAAGCTAGACAAGGTCAATGGGGAAAAAAGAGGATATATGTAATAATTTCACCAATAAATATTTTAAAACATTTAAAAATTTTTAAAAAAAGAAAATAGAATCAGTCCGGAGTGTCTATGGTAGGAGCTAAGGCTATGGAAGTCTTGTACATATTCGTAAGACTATACGAGAACAAACTCTCTAGGAAGAACTCTATGCTCATTATAAAGCTCTATGGTTTTAACTTTCCCTTAACTTCCTCTTCCTTTGGATAAATACCTCTCCAATTTGTCTTACTGGGTAAAGTGTGTGCACCTGGCTTGTCATGTCTGCAGGTGCTGGGTTGCAATCCATTCTTTTTCCCAAATAAGTCCTTTTTTGGTGACAAAACACCTAGTAAATATTAATTTTCTGTCATCACCTCTCAAAATAGAACACAAAGCAGTTTGCAAAGTATCCTTTTGAGACAGTCTTCATAATGAACACTGGTACTGTACCTACTATTTCCTTCTGAAAGCTAACTGCCTTGGTTACCTAACTGTGACTCCCTCAAGTATCATTGATCAGGCATATTTAATCTGATAAAACTCTCCAGTAAATAATTGAAGATAGGCATTTACAGATCATGATATTCTTTTTCTGTTTTCTCCTAGATATCAGTAGCAGGCACTCCATGTAGAAAGAGTGCCGATCAAGAGTGTGATTTTACAGAGTACTGCAATGGAACTTACAGTGACTGTGTTCCTGACACTTACGCATTGAATGGCCACGTGTGTGGTTTGGGAACTGCATTTTGCTATAAGGGACGATGCCAAACTACTGATTATCAGTGTGCCAACATATTTGGAAAAGGTGTTGCTCTTTCTTGTATATATATTTTACTTCAAAATTGGATCCCTCTATAAGATAAAATACATGTCACATAACTCAAGAAGTGGAAAAGCCTGAATCACAATCTCAGTAAAAACTAAATTTGAATTAAAGAAGGTTATTTTTTTAGAAATGTTTGAGGTTTTCCCATGATAGTATTGTACTATTTTTTTTCACGGTTTGATTTTTGTATTTGGTAATTAACTACCAGGGTAAAAATTGTGTTTACAACTCCTAATTTACATGGAGCTTAGAATGGCAAGTCAGTAAATCTTGAATTTTTACTATAATAAGGGCATACTCCTACTTTAATAAATAAATAAATATTCGACCCAGAAATGAGTTAGTTGACATTTGACATATTTTTAGTTCTAATTAAAATAAAGATGTTTAGGTAAGATTTAGCCTTTCGTGTGTGTTTACTTCTCCTATATATGCTCTGATCTCCACAAAACTTACCCAAATAGGTCAAAATTTTGATCTTGTGATGCAGTTCGTTCCTATTTTATTCATTTATTTGGTTCCTATCTAGAGCAAGCATTTTTCTTTCTTTTTTTAATTACATTTAGTGGAGTGACTTGGTTAATAAAACTATACAGTTTTAAGTGTACAACTCAATAAAACACCAACTATATACTGCACTGTGTGCTCACCACCCAAAGTCGAGTCTCTTTCCATTCCTCCCTTTTGTCTTCTTTCACATTCCCCCACTTTCCTTTTCCTCTGGTCAGCATTGTTTCTTGTTCTTATTTTACCAAAAACTATATGATAGGAGGTTGTTCTAAATCAGTCTAATATATGAGTTATATGAATTAACAAATAGTTTAATTTAAATTTTGCTTTAAGTTAATTTATACCTTTAAAGGAATTATAGACGTTTAATTAATCATATTTTTCCAGTAAAAATATATATACTGAATGTGTATGTGCAGAGAGTTGGTAATTTTCAACAAGAGGAACATAGTCACATGGTTAACGTACTCATGGAGCTTATGATGAAGAGATAAAGACAGTGCATATGTAAACACAAAACAATATAAAAATTCTTTCGCTAAGTGTAGTTTAAAGTTTAAATAAAAAAAGAACGCTAAAAGAAAAGTAAGGTGTAGTGGACAAGGAAAATACTTCCAGTTGTCATTATTCTTCAGCTGTCTGCTTAATCCTTCAGAATTGTCTCAACTGCACAGACACACCTCACCCACCTTCCCAGAGAAACACATATCCAGGCCTAGACATTTTGGCCCAATCAGGCACAAATGAGGCCCAGTTCACATATTAACATGCTACTTATGCTCCAGAGCTACACATGGGGTTAGTCAACTACCCCAAGAGGATGACTGACATCAGTATGTATTACAAGATTTTTAAAAACAACAACAACTAATCACGTGGCAGCCTCAGCTGTGAGAACTTGGCCACGTCATTGACCCTCGCTGAGCCTCATTTTCTTGTCTGTAACTGTGTGGCTGGCATGGCTCAGTGGTTGAGTGTCAATCTATGAACCAGGAGTTCACCAGTTTGATTGCCGGTCAGGGCACATGCCCAGGTTGCAGCCTTGATTCCCAGTAGGGGGGCATGCAGGAGGCAGCCGATTAATGATTCTCTCTCATCATTGATGTTTCTATCTCTCTTTCCCTCTCCTTCCTCTTTCTGAAATCAATAAAAATAAATTAAAACAACAACAACACAAGGCCAGATAGTAGTGTTTGACTGCTAGAAATAAGATAGATAAAATCCTATATAATGCAAGGCTAATATGCAAATCGACCAAACTGCTGAATGACCAGTCGCTATGATGCACACTGACCACCAGGGGGCAGACACTCAATGCAGGAGCTGTCCCCTGGTGGTCAGTGCGCTCGCACAGGGGAAGCCCCCCTCAGCCAGAAGCTGGGCTCATGGCTGGTGAGCACAGTGGCGGTGGCAGGAGCCTCTCCCGCCTCCGCAGCAACAGTAAGAATGTCCGACTGCAGGCTTAGGCCCACTCCCCTGGGGGAACGGGCTTAAGCCGTCAGTCAGACATCCCCTGAGGGCTCCTGGATTGCGAGAGGGCCTCTAGTTATTTTAACAAGGAATAGCAGACATATACCTGGTCTATAGATAGACAGGAAGATACTTCATACAATATCATTTCTATTCTATGTGTTCTGTGGGCAACCAACAATAATAATCTTATGTCCAAATTCTAAAGCTAAGACAATTTTCAGAATCAAAACTCATTGACTTAAGGGGAGTTAAGGGCCCCAAAGGAAAACTCTACAACACCTTAGACAATATTCATGTTAACAATGCCCCTAGTGTATCCACAAATGACCTACAATTATTTAACTGGCTTATCTGTTCACTGGGGAAAGAGAAATACCCAAACATTTTGGAAACTGGTGGACAAAAAGTCTGAATTAATGTGGATACCCAGAAACTCAGTGTCATCATGGTCTCTCTGTGACAGTGAGGACTTATAGGGGTCAGGGAATAGAGTTCTTAGCAAGTTTCAGTTTACATTGGTTCTACTAGCCCCACAAATTAATTTGGTATTTACTTCTCAGTCCTAGAATTTTGTAGGAGAAAGCCTCCGTAACTGTCCTTTTTCAGAAATTAGTGCTACCTTCAAAGATTTAAAGGATGCAGAGTTGATTGGCTATATAATATATACATTTAATTACTCAATCTGATCCTTGCATAAACCAGATAGTCCTTGAAAGATAATAGTAATCTACTGAAAATGCAGTAAAGTGGTAGATTAAGTAATTGTATCCACTGTGCCAGGTGTGATATTATGCTAGCGCAGATTAGCATGGCCTTAGATATGTGGTATTAGGATAGTCATTGACTTTGCAAATATATTCTTATCTATGCCAATTTGAAAAGAGAATTAGAAAAAGTTTGCTTGCAATAGATAATAGTATTAATTTTGAGTTTTGCTTCAGGGCAATGTTTATTCAGCCATAATGTAATTGAAGACATTTGTACGTCCCAGAAAGTATCACATTGATCCAGTCCAACAACGATTTTGTACTAATCTTGCTAAATAAGCAAAGTATAACTAGAATGTGGGTGGTCTAAGACATGTGCTACAAAGAGCAGTAAGTTAACCCTGGAAATATTCAGGAACAGTCATATCAGTAAAATTTTCAGGAGTCCAGTTGTCAGAGGCATGATTTGACATCCCCTACAAAGTAGAAGACAAACTGCATCTTATATGTACTATGACAATGGAAGAAGTACAAATCCTTTGTTTCTTGGGGAAAATCTGGGAGTTAAAATTCCTTTTCAATTGTATGGTGCTGTGCCACAGGTTTTTGCTTATAAGTGACATGTTTCAAATCTCTCATTTCATTAAACAGAGAAATTATCAAGTCTGATACCCTTTGGGCAAAGAAGTATGCATGACCACAGGGAAGGAAAGCAATTTGTTTTTAACAACAATATAATTTACTACAATAGATATAATCTTTTTGCTTTCTATTAGGTAAAACAATTGACAAGGTAAATATAGGGGGGAAAGTATAATCAAGATCACGATATTTTGATTATTCAATAAGCAATTCATTAGCTTTTTATTGACAAAACTTTTAAATTGAATTAAAAATAATAACCAATGTGTTTGCATTTTAAGGTGCTGAAGGTGCTCCATTTGCCTGTTTTGAAGAAATTAATTCTTTTCGTGGTAGATTTGGAAACTGTGGTTTTAAAAATTCACAACCATTACCTTGTGAACCAAAGTATGTATATAAAAATGATTGTTTCATAAAATTCTGTATTTCTTGTCAAGAGACACGAATAATAATGGACAGTAAATCATATCGCAGGAGAATATTTTGAAACAACATTATATGTATTTTCCTTCTATATAATTCAGTTTTCTACTCCCCTTATTTTTTCTCTGATACTGTTCAATTAATGAGTCTAGATTAAAAGAAAGCTGAAGCTTTTTATCAGAGGAAGGAAGTGGATGCAAACTGCCAAAAACAAAAACAAACAAAAAACAGGAATTGATGCTACATGTTGAGAATTAAAATGGAATTTTTATTAAGTCAATGCATGATAGTGATCATAAAGCAAGTGTTTTGACTCAAAATACATGATTATATGAACAATAGCTTCTTTGTTTTCACAATATTGATATATAAAATATGGCAGTACCTATGAATAGCTGAATATGTAGTTCTGGAATAAGCTATAGAATAAAAGGAATTATGAAATCCAATAAAGAAAGTGCCTACCCCACAACAACACTTCCTGAATTTCATAGGAGTATTAAAAATAAAAGAATCACAAAATTAGTAACAGACAAGAGGTTGACCAAGCTGAGTAACTTAATAACTAAAATGAAATCTATATATATAAAAGCCAAGTAACCGGAATGATGGAACAACCAGTCACTATGATGTGCACTGCGGTGGCCGCCCAGCCCCATCCCTGATTGCCCCACCACTCTGATTGGGGGTGGGGCCGGCCAGACAACCCCAGTGGCCCCTTTCCCTGGCCAGCCTAGCCCCAATCGCCCCCATCAGGGTGGGCTGGCCAGACCCCACCCATGCACTAATTCATGCATTGGGTCTCTAGTATTCAATAAAGAGGTTCAACAGAAGACTTGATCAAGCAGAAGAAGGGGTTAATGAACTAGGAGTCAGGAGAGTAAAATTCAAACAATCAGGAAAAGAAAGAGAGGGAGAGAGAGAGAGAGGAGAAGAAGAGAGAAAATGAAAGGAGACAAGAGGAAAGGAAGAAAGAGAAAGAAGAAAAGGAGGAAGTGGGGAAGGAGAGAAAGAGAATAGAAAGAAGAGAAAGAAAGAAAGGAAGAAAGAAAGAAAGAAAGAAAGAAAGAAAGAAAGAAAGAAAAGAAAGAAAGAAAGAAAGGGAAAGAGAGAGAGGGAGGGAGGGGAGGAAGGAGGGAGGAAGGAAGGAAGGAAGGAAGGAAGGAAGGAAGGAAGGAAGGAAGGAAGGAAGGAAGGAAGGAAGGAAGGAGAGAGAAAGGAAAGAAGGAAGGAAGGAAAGAAGAAAGAAAGGTGAAGAATGAAGATAGCTTAAGGAACTTATAGGACACCATCAATAAGAGCACAATACTCATTATAAGGGTACCAGAAGAAGAAAGAGAACAGGACAGAAAGCTTATCAAAGAAATCATTACTAAAAGCATTAACATTCCTAACCTGGGGATAATAATTCCCAGGAATACTAGAGAAACCAAATAAGAGGAATTCAAAGTCACCCACATAAAGACACATTAAAATTAAAATTTTAAGGGTTCAAAACAAAAAGAGGATCTTAAGATCAGCAAGACCACACACATAAGACAATCATATTTTTAAGTAGACACTTTGAAGAGAAAAAAGGTGCTCAACAAATCATCTGGAAAATGCAGATCAACCGCAAATGAGATATCAGTTCACATTTGTTAGAATGGATATTATAAAAAAGACATTAGATAACAAATACTAGCAAGAATGTGGAGAAAAGAGAATCCTTGTATACTGCTTGTGGAAATGTAAACTGGTATAGCCTCTATAAAAACAAATAAAAGTTTGCTGAGGAAATTGAAATAAAACTAACAGCAATTGATTCAGCAATTCCACTTCTAGCTATATACCAAAAGGAAATGAAATAAGTATTTTGAAGATATTTTATTGCAGCTTCACAGTAGCCACAGTATGAAAACAATCTAAGTGTCCATTAATGGATGAATGGATAAAAAAATATTGGTATCTTTCTAACGGAATATTACTCAGCTTGTAAAAAGAAGAAAATCATGTGATTTGTGGCAACATAGATGAACCTGGGAGCAGTATTCTTAGTGAAATAGCCAAACAGAGAAAGACAAATACCGGTTAGTATCACTTACATGTGGAATCTTAAAAAGAATAAGTCAAATGCATAGAAACAGAGAATAGAAAAGTGGTTGCCAAAGGGAAATAGAAAGAGGTTGGTAAAATGATGCGAATTTTCAGCTATCCGATGAATAAGGTCTGATGATCTAATGTACAACATTGTGACTATAATTGACAACACTGTATGTTATATATTAGAAATTTGCTAAGAGAATAGAAAAATGTTCTCTCACACACACACACACACAAACAGGATAAAATGTAAAGTGATGAATGTGAATTAACTAGATGTGTGCTATTCTTTCACAATGCATACCCATATCAAATCATCACTTTTTACACTTTAATAACTATCTTATAATTTTGTCAACTATCTATAATAATAAGAGCATAATATGCTAATTAGACTGGACAGCCAAACAACCCTCCGGACGACCTTCTGGACGAAGCCGGGGCTGTGGGGGCTGGGACCCTTGCATGAATTTCGTGCATTGGGCCTCTAATACCTCAATAAAGCTGGAAAAAATAGTAGCAAATATGTTATAGAGGTCTACTATAAACATAGTTTCTGTGGCTAAAACTATGGTATTCTCTACTTAAAATTTGCTATGCAGGTAGATCTTATGTTGAATGTTCTTACAGCAAAAATAATAATTGTTATAATACAAAGGGTGGAGGAGACTTTGGAAAGTGATTGATATGTTTATGTTCCTGATGGTACTGATGGCTTCACAGTGTGTACTTGACCCCAAACTCATCAAGTTGAATACAGTAAGTGTGTACAGCTTTTTAGAGATCAGTTATACCAAAACGTGGCTTAAAAATAGAAACAGAGCCCAATTCAAAAACTAAGAGAGGAGAACAGAATATAAAAACACTCAGATAAGGTCAAGTGATCCAAGGAGAAGCAGGACTTTCTTTTAACCTCCAAGACACAGTCAGGAAAAATTGTTGAATTCTTAGGTAGGAACCACACTCAACGTGGTTAAAAACAACGTGGTTCCTTTGTGGAGATTTTTGAAGATTATAAATGTCTGGAGAAGGTGGCTAGCTGGATGGGACTAAGATAGCATTCACCTGTCACCACATAAATTTACTATATATTAAGTATGGCATGTAGAGAATGCAGAATTTTCCAAATACCTCGGCACAAGAAGAATAATGGATTGAAAGAGAAGGTCTGGAATCATAAAGTGAGTGCTGATGAGGGGAAATCTCACGAGGAGGCCCTGTATAATCTCTGAAAGACAAGGAATAATCAGCCACACCTGTATTAGATAACAATACAGAACACCAGTCATCGGGCAGATCTGCTACACTACAGTGGATGCCAACAAAGACGGGAGATGGTGGTTGCTGGGGTTCTTGTCCCAGCATCAAGAAGGGTTCAGGAATCTGGAGAAGGCTGTGCGTAGATGTTAAATAAGAGTCCAGAGACTAATAAAGAGTCTGGAGACAAGATATAATTTTGAAAGGCATTTGGGGGTCAGAGGAGCTCTAAAGGAGCAGCTAAGTTCTAAGGTCTTAAGTCTAAGATCTCCTAAGTCTTCCCATCCCCAGGACCCATGCTTTTTATTAACACAACTTGTCCTGAGGCGAGGCAGAGATATACACTTCAAAGGGTATACAGAAACATTGTCAGAATGGGGGAATTAGCCTACGGCTGTTCAGGTGTTTGGCCAATAGGAGGCAATAACATGTAGATTAAGATGCCTTTTAGATGTCTGGCCTTCCAGCAATAAGTTTAATATATCCTATTTAGGTTTGGGGAAATGCCTTCAGCCATTCCCAGATGCAGGCCTGCTGTCATGCTGGAATTGGTCTCCGGCAGGTGGTAAACCAGACATACTTCTCTCTCCTGCGTGACCAGGGACATGTCTACTGCCCTGGGCCTAAGATTACCTATGAAAGAAGGAAAAAGAAAGGTGGACGGTACTATAAAATTTAGCAAGCATGACTTATCTGGACTTCATCTGAGCTGATGATAGTACATGACTTTTCCTGAAATAAAATCACTAAAAGTGACTGGAATTCAATAGCATAATTTATCTGCTCTAAGTGGATTGTGATCCCTTTTCAGAAGAAAAAGCAGTACTAAGAATTCAACCACAAATGCAAAATTTGAGTGAGTGGACTTTGGAGAAAGAGTTTGTGTACCCCATAGCCACCCTGGAAAGAGACCTGCCATTCAAAGATGGTTTAAGATGTAATTCATAGAAACAGAATGGAGCCACAATTAAAATACATAAATATCTAGATCTGAGAAACTAGAAAAAATATGTGGTAAGGAGAGAAGCTTGGAAAGAGATTTAGGTTTTGGCTCCCAATCTCATTTCAATCTTCACTTAATAATGTCGTTAAGCTAATTCCTGCAATATTAAAGAATCCAAAATGATCTTTTAAGACAAATGAATTAATTCCCTAAGTGGATAAATTTCCTAAGAGGAGACTTTTGGAAAAATAATCATGAAATGTTCAACAGACCATATCAATACCTAAGAAATTGTTGTTTCCATTGAGGATGAGAGTTGATAGAGCTGAGTGATTCCAAGAGCAAGAAATAACATAGATTATTTCCAGGCCACAGACTAGAAATTTTATAAGCCTCTTAGAGAAGCCAATGTTCTATCCAATGATAGATTATAAATGGCAAAATAAACTGTGTATGGGACAGCCTTTGGTGTATGATGGTATAAAGGAGATTTAAACATTTCTTAATTCTCAAGAGAGGAGTACAGAACTATTGAAAGTATCAACAGGTTGGAATAATCTTGAGATAAAAATAAAAAGTCTGTATAAAACAGAGCTGCCCTGAGTAAAGATCATAATCAGAGGAGGCTCTAATGATATACAAAGAGTAAATAAAGGCAATCAGCCACTCGTAGAAAATCTTGAGTAACAAATGACCAGACTGGTCAAGCTATAGCAAAGTGAGGACAGGTGATGAATTTCCCCAAAAAATGTAATAAAATATGATGATTGCTCTAATACAACTGGAGGCTAGACAACAAATTTTATTTCTGAAATAGGAAATGACATCACCTCTATACATCTGAGCTGTGTGTACTTTTCAATTCTGCTGCAATGCTAATTAATTAAATTGCATTCAGTTCTGCAATAAAGATGTTATTTTGACTTATTTTTTCTGGCTTTATACCATCAATTAAATAACATTTATGCTACTACCCATGTAATATCACACTTATTTGGGATTTGGTATCATTAAAAGAAGACACTATGAGAAATTTTCTGCTTTTCATTTCTAGGGATGTTCTCTGTGGAAAATTAGCTTGTGTTTGGCCACAGAAAAATACTTATAAAAATAATATTCAATCTGCAATTTATTCATATACTCAAGGGCATGTATGCTTATCCATCCCTACTGGATTATCAGTGAGATCAGATGGAAGAGATTATGGCTATGTAGCTGATGGTACTGTGTGTGGCACACAAATGGTAACAAAACATGTTTGTGTATTTTAGCTTTAATAAAGTATGTAATTATCTGATACTATATTCAATGATGACTATCACAATTATACTGAATGAATTGCAACCTGGTACTGTCACTTATTTCCCATATGATATTGAAAAGGTAACCAAACTAAATCTCAGTTATCCAATAACTCTTGTTCAGTTAACTTGTCATCAGTCCTTATCTGAGGAAATATGTATGTGTTTTAAGCATAAGATTGCACTGACAGGTGATTTTGTTTTAGATCTTTGAATTCTAACAGCTTTAAAGCATAAAATTATAATCCTGAGTTTCCAGTTTTCCCTGCTTCATAAAGAAACATAATTGAGCTTTCATATTTCTTAAATCATCTTCTTATGTATTTGACCAAAATGTAAATATGAGAGGATTGGAAGAAGCAAACAAGAAGCCTGTTCTGGGAAAGCATTGTTACAGTGATAATGTACAAGCTTATGTATGCATGCATCTGTACATACATATGAGCATTTACACATGCATCTGTACATACATATGAGCACTTACACATGCATCTGTACATACATAGGAGCATTTACACATGCATCTGTACATACATAGGTGCATTTACACATGCATCTGTACGTACATAAGAGCATAAAATAAAGGGAGAACAAAAGTGGTTCAGAGGCTTAGTTAGCCTGAAAGTATGAGGGCACACATTTCAGAAAACATAAGGCCTCTGAGATTTAAAGAAATTGTAAATCAGTATGTTGCATGTAAATGGCATTCAACACTTGCTGAATTAAAAATAAAATGAAACCTTGACATGGTGAATCAATTAGCTAATTCTTATATCAGGGCTCAGCAATCCTATCCCCTTGGAAAACTTGTTTGCTGTAGTAAGCAGCTCCTTTTTTATTTTTTATTGGGTTGACACTGGTTTATAAGATTATATAGGTTTCAATGGTACATTTTTATGATGCAGATGATCTTCCGTCACCATATATTGGCCCCCTTTACCCTTTGCTACTACCCCACCCCCTGGTAACCTCCATACTGATGTCTGTGAGTTTTTGTTTGCTTTTCTTGTGTGTTCATTTGTTGCTTTTAATTTTTTATACCACATAAGAGTGAAATCATACGGTTCTTAACTTTTTCTGACTGACTTATTTCTGTAGGCAGCTTCTAACATGGCCCTAATGATCCCACTTCCTGGTGTTCATTCCCTGTGTACTTTTAGGGAAATCAAAAGAAAATAAACTAGTAGGATAATTAATAAAAAAAGATAAATGAGGCAGAGTCACATGTCCACATACTAATTACCTGGATTAACCACTTAGACATAACAGGGATTTTATAATGGATACAAATTAACTTAAAATATTTATCTTGCCAGATAAGTCTGATCACTATTATAACAAAGACTCATGATAATTTATAATCCAAAATATTAATTCATGTTTGAAAGCCAAACAAAGCTAATAAATTTTCTTCCAATTTTTGAGGGGCAAATCATTAACATTAACCTAACCTATTATTTATAACACAACATTAATAATTGTAAAAGCCAAAACCAAAATTACATGACATCATCACATCAGCCATGTTAAAGCAAACACCCTCATATTTTTTCCTTAAATTTAATATTGTTTAGAATTTTGTATTGGTATGCCAGTATCATTGTACTAGAATCAGATATGGAATAAAAAATCTCAACTTGAGCATGTATTATGCATAGATAACAATTTTTTTCCATATCAAATTTTCAAATAATTACAAAATACTATGTTTGGATTTTTTTTTTCAGTATTGTGAAAATAAAACCTGCCAAGAAATTGATTTAAAGAAATCTAACTGTAATGCCACTACAAAATGCAAAGGGAATGGGGTAAGTGACTTCTTTTTGTAGTTCTAAACTGCATGTTATTTTTCTGGATAATTCAAAGTAAAAAATATATCCTACTTGAGAGAATTGAGAGTCTACATTACTTTTAAACTGAGCTTGCCTAGAACTAGCTAACTAACATAAAGAAAATCAGCTAAGAAAATTCAAACACTATTAAACTAATTATACACCAATTGTGTATTGAATTTATTGTAAGCACCCTCAACTTATAAATTAGTATCATGTTTAAATTAAAAACATTTATTCTTTCTTAATGCAAATAAATGCATATTTTATATTGTTAACATATTTTGTTCATCCTCATATTCTTCATAACTAAAATTTATGGCTGTATATTATTTTACAGCAAGTATACTTAAAAAACATGTTGCCTTATTAAAGAATTTTTTGTTTTTTATGAAGAGGTTTCTAATAGGAAATATACTTTCTTGTAAAAACTTTTTATTTCTTCTCAACTGCTTTATCTATGTTAATCTGGTAATACAAATTTGTCATTATTTCATATTTAATTTTATTTTCACTTCTTAAAATTTATAATTTTGGTCTTTTGTATGTAGTCAACATTATATGAATGATCCCATATTTACCAAATTTGTCAATATTCAACTTATAAATTTAAAAGTGATTGATTTAGAAGATATAAAATGCCACTATATTGTCTTCAATTTTTTTTATGGGCTATTAAAACAAAGAGGATAGCTATATTTTGTGTGTGTGTGTGTGTGTGTGTGTGTGTGTGTGTGTATTTAATCTTACTGATTATCTTTTTTTCTTTTTATTGTTTATTTTGAGGTAATTATATGTACACAGGATACTGCAAAGATATAAGTATAAAGATGTGCCATGTGCCTTTCTCCTAGTTTCCCCCAATGGTTACATCTTAAATAATTATAGTACAATATCAAAACTGTGAAATTAACATGAGTATAGTGTGTTCACATAGTTCCATGCCCCTGTTATCACAAGTGTAGAATGTATAATGACCACTGCAGTACAGATACAGAACTATACCATCATTACAAAATTCTCATTCTACCTCTTTATAGTCACACCAACTCTTCCTCCTTGCCCCCCCAATGCTTGACAACCACTAATATATTCTCCTGTCCTATAATTTTTGTCATTTCTAGACTGTCATATAAGTTGAATCATATATAAATTATATATATATATATATTTTAACCCAAAACAAAACATAGTTTTACTGATTTCAGAGAGGAAGGGAGAGGGGAAGAGAGATAAAAACATCAATGATGAGAATCACTGATCAGCCGCCTCCTTCCTGCATGTCCCCTACTGGGGATCAAGCCCACAACCCAGGCATGTGCCCTGACCAGGTATCTAACTGTGATCTCCTGGTTTATAGGTCAATGCTCAACCATTGAGCAACACTGGTCAGGCTATTTTTTGTGTGTGTGTTTTGTTTTTCTATAGTTAAAATTGTTGGCCTGATCTTTTGCTTTCTTTTGTTCAATGATCTGTTATCAGGCTCAGCTTTAATATCTGTCATAAAATCTCAAAACAAAGGTATAGATTATAGATTATTTGTTTTATAGGGTATAAATTTTTCTTAATTTATCACTATTTAAGCTCAATTTTTATATTAGACTTTTTGAATGTATTTTTTCTTTTGATAAAGTTTTTTACTGTGAAATAAGACATATAAGAAATAAATTAAGATAACATTTCTATATTTTTTATTTTTCTACATGTTATATTTCACAATTAAAATGTTTTAAAAAGAAAACTATTTAAAAGTAATGAAAATGTCAAATAAAATTTAACTGAATCTAGGGGAAGCAGTGTTTAAATCTCAATGAATCTCAATAACTCTATTATTTACACAAAATTCATGCACAGAGGGGAGGGTGTCCCTCAGCCTGGCCTGCACCCACTCCAATCTGGGACTCTTTGGGGGATGTCCGACTGCCGGTTTAGGCTGATTGGGCCTAAACTGGCAGTCAGACATCCCTCTCACAATCCAGGACTGCTGGCACCTAACCGCTCTTCTGCCTGCCAACCTGATCACCCCCTAACCGCATCTCTGCCAGCCTGATTGACACCTAACTGCTCCCCTGCCAGCCTGATCACCCCCAACTGCCATCCCCTGCCAGCCCAATCATCCCCAACTGCCCTTCCCTGCTGGCCTGGTCCCCCACAACTGCCCTCCCCTGCCAGCCTGGTCCCCCACAACTGCCATCCACTGCAGGCCTGATTACCCCCAACTCCCCCCCACTGCCGGCCCAATTGCCCACAACTGCCCTCCCCTGCAGGCCTGATCGCCCACAACTGCCCTTCCCTGCTGGCCATCTTGTGGCAGCCATCTTGTGGTGACCATCTTGTGACAACGTCACACGAGGGCATTGCAGGAGGGCGTGACGCCCCCTAGGCTTTTATTATATAGGATTACAATTCAATTTTATGAGCATATAGTTATTCAGAAATTTCATTAATTGTGATATGTGGGCAGTTAATTAGTGTTGTTCATTTTTCATTCATGAAATACCTTTTTTATTACCAAAACTATATTTTTACTCCTGCTGAAAATTCAACACTTAGGAGTGGTTAGAGCATCTGCCTTCAAGCCAAAGGACCCTGAGTTTGATTCCCAGTCAAGGGCACGTTCCTGGGTTGCAGGTTCAATCATGCATGCAGAAGGCAACCAATTGATGTGTCTCTCACATCAATGTTTCTCTCTCTCTCCCTCTCCCTCCCTTTTATTCTCTCTGGAAATCAATGGAGAAAAATATCCTAAGTTGAGGATTAAAAAACAAAACTAACTATATTTTCAGAGAAGTTTTAGGTTCATAGCAAAATTGAGGGGGAAGTAACAGAGATTTTACATAAATCTCTTGGTCCCACACATGCATTGCTTCCCCCATTATTAACATTATACAGTAAAGTGTTGCATTTGTTGCAATTGATGAGCCTACATTGACACATCATAATCACCTAAAGTCCATAGTTTACATTACAGTTCACCTTTTGTATTGAATATCCTATGAGTTTGGACAACTGTTTAATTACATGTACCTATCATTATGGTATCATCAGATTATTTTCACTAAAATTTTTCCATGCTCCCCCTTTTTATACCTTCCCTACGTTAACCTATGGCAGCGACTAATCTTTTCACTGTCTTCACAGTTTTATCTTTTCTAGAATGTCATTTAGTTGGAAACATTTGGTATGTGGCCTTTTCAGAGTGGCTTCTTTCAATTAACAGTATGCATCTAAGGTTTCTTTATGTCTTTTCATGGCTTAATAGCTCATTTTTACCATGGTTTAAACCATGTAAATCTATGTTGCCTAGATTTATTATGATTTATTTATTCTTTCACCTATTATTTATTTCTTGCATTATCCCTTTATATATTTCCTTTCATTTTTAATGAATTACTATTAAATTCCTTCCCTTATTTTGCCTTGATCAAATAAAAAAGAAATTCTAGGGTATAACTGCTTTTTTTGTTTTGTTTTGTTTTGTTGTGTTTGTGTGTGTGTGTTGTTGTTGTTGTTGTTGTTCTTTTTTGTAACTAATTACCTTGTAATTTTAACATTTTTTATTGTCCTTATTCCTTTATTCTTATACCAAACTTATGTAAAAGTATTTAATCCTGCACACACACTTAAGTCTTGCCCATTTTTGTACTTTTTCATACCGTTCACCTTTCACTTCTAACTTGTGTTTTGTGTAGCTACTTTGACTTTGAGATCCCTAATGGATTGTATGCATTAGCTTATTTTTTAAGAAATATATTTTTATTGATTTCAGAGAGGAAGGGAGAGGGAGAGAGAGAGAAAGAGAGAGAGAGAGAGAGAGAGGCATCAATGATGAGAGAATCATTGATTGACTGCCTCCTGCAGGTCCCCTATTGGGGATTAAGGTCACAACCCAGGCATGTGCCCTTTACTGGAATTGAGCCCTTCAGTCTGCAGGCCTACACTCTATCCGCTGAGCCAAACCAGCTAGGGCAGCTTTTTTTTTCCCCCTAAAAATTATTAGAGATGAAATTATAATACATAGAGATTTGCTATGCTAGAAAATATGTTCTTTCTAATATGACAGTGATGGCGAACCTATGACACGCGTGTCAGGGGTGACACGTGAACTCATTTTTTTGGTTGATTTTTCTTTGTTAAATATATAAAATAAATATCAAATCAAAAATATAAGTCTTTGTTTTACTATGGTTGCAAATATCAAAAAATTTCTATATGTGACATGGCACCAGAGTTAAGGTTTTTCAAAATGCTGACACGCCGAACTCAAAAGGTTCGCCATCACTGTAATATGACATTGCTTTTCTATTTAATGGGAGGGGTGGGCTGCTGGAATACTTTTTCAAAAAGTAGAAAGAAAAGGTATGTGAGAGGTTATACATTTAGAGATGTTGCATATCAACAATGCAAATTTTTGCTGCCTCAAAAAAGATGTTTCCTTTTTTATTCCAGATGAAGTTTTGGAAAGTTCGTTCTAGGTCTGTGAAATATGCCATTTGCATCTCTCGGATGATTAGTGACTTTGAGCATGTTTTCATATGTCTCTTGGCTTTCTGAATGTCCTCTTTTGAAAGGTGTCTATTTAGATCCTTTGCCCATTTTTTGATTGGATTGTTTATCTTCTTTTTGTTAAGTTGTATGAGTTCCCTATAAATTTTGGAGATTAGGCCCTTATCAGATATGACGTTGGCAAATATGTTTTCCCACGCAGTGGGTTTTCTTGTTGTTTTGTTGATGGTTTCTTTTGCTGTGCAGAAGCTTTTTATTTTGATGTAGTCCCATTTGTTCATTTTCTCTTTAGTTTCAACTGCCCTAGGAGCTGTATCAGTGAAGAAATTGCTTTGGCATATGTCTGAGATTTTGTTGCCTTTGGATTCTTCTAGAATTTTTATGGTTTCCTGTCGTACATTTAAGTCCTTTATCCATTTTGAGTTTATTCTTGTGTATGGTGTAAGTTGGTGGTCTAGTTTCATTTTCTT